AATCCAGACAATGGCCGAGGCCTTGTTCAAGGCATGGAGATTGCTACCATATTCGCACATCACCAGAAGATTGTGGTGGCTGATAGCGAGGCTTCGGGTGGAGAATCCGGGAAGAGAAAGATTGTTAGCTTCATCGGTGGAATCGATCTTTGTGACGGGAGATACGATACTCCTTCCCATCCCCTGTTCAGGACATTGGACTCGGTTCATCACAACGATTTCCACCAGCCGAATTTCGGTGGCGCGTCGATCAAGAAAGGTGGACCGAGGGAGCCTTGGCACGATGTGCATTGCCGGCTCGAAGGCCCGGTCTCCAGAGACGTGTTGCTCAACTTTGAGCAAAGATGGAGAAAGCAAGGACATGGCAACAACTTGCTTGTCAACGTAAGTGCTGAAGTATTCATGCAACCATCTGAAGAAGTTTTGCTCGATGATAGTGAAACGTGGAACGTTCAATTGTTTCGCTCCATCGACGGCGGGGCAGCTCTTGGATTGCCAGACACCCCAGGCTATGCAGCAAAGCACGGCATCATTAGGGGCAAAGAATACCCCATTGAGAGAAGCATCCAAGATGCTTATATCAACGCGATTCGACGGGCGAAGAATTTCATTTACATCGAAAACCAGTACTTCCTAGGAAGCTCGTTCTCGTGGGAGTCAAGCGACGCCAAAGTCCAGGAGGCCGGCGCTCTTCATCTGATCCCCAAAGAGTTGTCGCTAAAGATCGTTAGCAAGATCGAAGCAGGGGAGAGATTCGCAGTGTATATGGTCATCCCAATGTGGCCGGAGGGCGTTCCAGAGAGTCCATCAGTTCAAGCTATATTGCATTGGCAGCACCAGACAATGGAGATGATGTACAAGGATGTAGCGCGGGCTATCCGCAACAACGGGCTCGACGCAGACCCCACGGACTACTTGACATTCTTCTGCTTGGGAAATAGAGAGACTGAAAAATATGGAGAATACGTACCTGCGGAGCAGCTAGAACACGATACCGATTACCGAAGGGCTCAGCGTTCGAGGCGATTCATGATTTACGTGCATGCCAAGACAATAATCGGTACGAAATCTTTGTATTATCAGTTCACTTGCTTGAATTGGGTAAGTTAGAGTTTGCTATTAAACAGATAGACTAATAATTCTTGTGCTATTAAGTCGACGACGAATACATAATCGTGGGATCGGCCAACATCAATGAGAGGTCGATGGACGGTGCCAGGGACACCGAGATCGCGATGGGAGCTTACCAGCCGCATCATCTAGACGACAAACCACACCGAGCCAGAGGCCAGATCTACGGTTTTCGGATGTCCTTGTGGCATGAGCACCTGCGCGAGCGCCACCGCTCCTTCGATCACCCTGAGAGTTTGGAGTGCGTCCAGATGGTCAACCAGATCGCTGATCGCAACTGGAGGCTATACTGCTCGGAGAAACCCGATCGAGACTTGCCGGGTCAGTTGCTGAAGTACCCAATTGCAATTGCTGAGGATGGAAAGGTTGCAGAGCAACCTGGCATGGAGTTTTTTCCAGATACAAAGGCTAAAGTTCTTGGGTCCAAATCACATGTCCTACCATCACTCCTCACTACTTAGACATAAAATTCAGTGCACAATAACTGTTCACCAGCCACAGAATCATTCAATTTGTACTTGTTCTTAGAAAAGATTGCTTCGTTTCTTTCCGTACATTATGATATTTTGATGTTAGTGGAAAACATGTGTTTCTATATGAATCTCCCTGTTGTACGAGGTTAATCCTGTTGTGTCCATGACATGAAAATGGTCATAGATAAGAATAGTTATCTCAATGACCTCAACACCAATCTGTCCTCGAGCTCTCGTTGCAAACATTGTCTAAGTTGTGGAAATTACGTTGTGGTCCGTAAATGGCTACTAATTGCTTGAAGGAGTGGAATTTATGATAAGAAAGGACGAGCTATGTTGCAGTTCATGGTCAGAGAGGATAGTAGCTATGTCAACTTCAAAAGGAGAAAAAGGAAAGTTAGAGTTTCGTGAAAGCATGGTGCTTGGTTGGGTTTGGTCAAATTGTGACCTTGATTATAAGACTAATTTGAGGCATTAAAACTCAATCAAATCGTATAATCGATTTATTTGGAAGAGGGTTTTCATAATATAATTAAGAGCATATTGGGCTGGATCGCTATAGATTATATTGGCCCCTTCGTCATATATATAGTTTGACAAATGTTAGTAGTCATAGACGGTGGAGTTGAAGGGACGTAGGCTTCTTTTTTTATTCTAAGAAAGTACAAAATTTTCGTTAAATCATATTTTTTTGGGATTTTTATACAGTACACAATATATGCAAGTCATCGATTCACAGCCCACCTCCATCAACATTAATACGGTAATTATGGTTTAAACATTTGACTATCTGAATCAGTGATAATGAATGTGGTCAATATAAAAAAAGGGATAATTACACAAATGACTCTTAAACTTTGACTCAAATTACAATGTGGTCCATGAACTTTTAATTTATTCAATGTAGTCCATAAACTTTAGCCTACTGTTCAATGTGGTCCCTAGACTTTTAATACATGCTCAATGTAGTCTTTAAATTATATAAAAATGTTTAATGTTGTCTCTGATCTTGAATAAATGAAAGGATTACATTGAATATTTTTATACAATTAATGGACTAATTTGAATATGTACAAAAAATTCAGGGATGACTATGTTACAAATTAAGTTAAAGTTTAGAGACCAAATTACATATTGGATTAAAGTTAAGAGACTATTTGTGTCAATTTTTTCATGAAAAAAATGAGTCACACATGTTATGTACTTTTAGTACCCCAACTGTCTCGAAAAAATCAAAGCCCAATCATATCACTCTTTGCTAATCTCCATTATACTGAATCTTCTCTTAATCACTTTATTAGGAGGAACAACAAAGCCCACGTGCATGATCTCATCTAACAAGTTAGGTGTGGAAGATGAGATGGGTGACGTGGAAGCCCCTTCTACCGCTCTTGGTATTGGAAATTCTTGGCCAATGAAGTGGTGAAAAGAGAGACATCCAACGATAAGAATTAGCGATCTTAATCATTAATTTAAGTTTGATACCACGTACTTTTTCTAGGTGGCAAATGACGATTGCCTACATAAGCTCTCACGACAAGCAAAGTAAAATTGGTAAATTAATAATGCCTCCTTACGTAATTTAAATGATATCATTCTAGAAGCAGAGTTTGAATATGAATATATATTATAAATATATATAATAGAAAAAGAGTAGTTTTTTTAAAGATAAATATAGAAAATGAGTGATTTTTAAGATTAATGATGCATTTGTGATGACACCTACGCCACACGAAGCAAATTAATAACTGTCGTTTTTATTAGTACATTAAGCTATGGAATATGTGGTGTTTGGGAGTGATTTTGTGATGCTAATTCTTTCGAAAACAATTAAACTACTCTAGTATAACATTTGGTAGCACTTCATGAGAGCAAGAAATGGAGGCATTACATTAAGAAGTCAAGGGTTGAATTTCAATGAGTGATCTAGTTAGGGATACTTTGAAACTCTTTGGTTGCTGCAAAAAAATTGTAACATTTTTCCATCTTTAAATTACTTATAAACTTTATGACCCCAGAAGAAATTACTTAGTCACTTAATTAATAACCTTTAGCACCATATACTTAGTCACTTAATTAACAACCTTCAGCACCATATAGGTCCTGGAAAAATCGTCCCGCTTTAATATGATAAAAATTAATTTCTAATAACTTTTAGTACCGCAACTGTCTCGAAAAAATCGTTATGCTTTCATGAGAGAAAGATAATAATTTCTAATCATTTATTTATTAACTTTTAGCACGAGAAGAAAACTGTCTCGAAAAAACCACTTTCCTTTCATAAAAAACTAATAATATTTCGTTATCAATAATTAATAGCTTTTTATTGCTGACGACACCAAGATATCTACTCGTCAAGCACCCACTGCAGCCTCAGCCAAGGACATCAAAGTGCATTAAATTACTCGATTAGAAGTAGAAAGTTCACTGCTAATCAAACCATACAGTGTTGGCCAAAAAAGAAAAATCAATTAGATAATCAAATTGCACTATTATTATAGGGTTAGGCAGCACTTATGGAGCTTATGATTGGGCAACTTCTGCCTCACGCAAACAAGAAATTGACATCATCCAAGACCCACTCTTTTCTTGGCACTGCCGTGTAGAACACCAACATAAGACTTAGCAACTAGTGATTGGATCACATGAAGTGTTTTTCTTGCGTTGTTAGATTAAACTAATCAGATGTTCCATCACGATAAGACACACTAAACTCCGCTTGGAAAAACACGAACCCCAGTTTTCTTTGTCGCTTTTTGGACGGCTACTCATTCGGTTGCGATAGCAACGTTGGAGAAGAGCTACGATTGCTCGAAAGGCTGAATCAATGAGTTATACGCTAACTGGATATTATGGCTTGCTAATTAGTTGCTGAGCATTTCTTCTGCACCCCTAGATCTCAACACGAATCTCCAGCAGGTATTGATGGGCTCCTTTGGCCATGGTCTTTTCCGAGACCAAACCGTGGTGGCGATTCTCCCTCCACAACATCGGTAATATATGAGATTTCTTATAAAACCCAGATACCAATGTACATTGGGAGGGCCTATCGGTCAACAATTCCTTTGAATACTGATATACATTAAGAGGATCCATCAACGACTATTATATGACATCATCGACCGTTTATTTGAGTCAGTAACTGACTTTTTTCTCAACAAAAATACCTAATTAAAAAGTCGGTAAATTAAAAGAAAAATCAAATAAACTTGGATAACTTAAATTAAAGTCGGTAGTCCAGACCTAGTTGATAACTCACTCAGAGAAAAGTTGATAAATCATTTAAGGAAAAAAAAATGAGCCAAATGCTTACGTAGAAGGTGCTTCCGGACTTAATGAATATATTCTCTCCCTGGATTCAGCACTATATAAGCCTTCACTCTCTTCCCTCATCATCTCATCAACTCACCCTTCGCTCTTGCTCATTTCCCTCTTCGACCAAACCAAGCAACAAGCATGACTCTCATCCCGAGCTCGGATGGGGCATCGTTGGCCACGGCCATGGCGGTCTCGGGCACGTTAATCCTCTTCGCCATAGGCTTCCAAAAGTCATACTCGACCACCCGCATCATAGTTGACCACATCGCTGAATTCTCGGAACCGGACATAGCATCTTGCACGATCTCTGGTACGCTTACCTATTCGACTACGTGTATAACCTAATCTGTGTAGCAAGAACTTCGTTAACCGATCGAGCCTGACCTCGCGCAGGTGCAACCAACAAGAAGAAGAAGATCAAGAGAGAGAAAGCAAGAAAGAGAGTTCCTTTCGAAGAGGATGCTAAAGATGATGATCATTATCCTTCGTCGTCCACGAAGTACAAAAGCTCGTCCAAGTTCGGAGAAATCCCAGCGAACAGAGCAGCACTTTACGAAGCAATTCTCAGGGATCGCAACCGTCACAGATTGGCCAGTTGTTATTGATAAAGAACTTTTATTTTCACGTGAAAAAAAAGGAAAATATAGAAAAATATCCTGTCTTATATAATGTCTACATCGTCGGCCATTAGTATTTTCCGATAAATATTCTCTATGTTCTTTTCTTTTTGTCCCTTTTTGTTCTATAGCTCTCGTTTTTCTTTTTCCTTTTTTCGGTTCTACCTTGTCACTAAGCAAGGAAGTGTAAGGAGCCTATGGAGATTGGTATGTGGGCTCAAAATGTGTATATCTGATGAATATGTGTGGAAGGAGGATGGTTTTTCTCAAGTAAAATATTTTGATTGGTTGTTCCATTTATGTAAATTGTAGTTAGTGATAATCTCATGTACTATCTAAGAATTCCTCCGTGCCACTCACATGTCACAGAAACTTGATTTGGATGTCATGCTATATGGAAGGTTAATCAATTGAGTAGCTAGAGACAACGCAGAACTTCCGGATAAGTTGTTTTTCACTGCATTTAAGCTTGATTTTAGTTTATTGAAAATCATTTTGTACATATTGAGTTTATCAAATAAACGAGAGAACTACCCAAACAAGTGTTTTGAGTGCCGGGGAATATGTTATCAAAGCAAATCAAGATGGATTATGGAAGTGTTTTTAAGCAACATGATAATGATTTCCATGGAAAATACAGTTATTTTGAGTAAAATCCGCATATTAGTGGGTCAACATATAATGTCGTGAGCAAGAAATAGATGGTGGTGACTAGCCACAGGCGAGGGTCACCCTTACTTACCTCGAGCAAGGCTTTCCCTCGCTGGCCTCGAGCTGGGCTTGCCTGCGAGGCTGGCCAGGTCACCTTGCCACTGGATTTGGCGAGGAGCAACCTCACTAACCTTGAGCCTTGCCAAAGGCCAGCAAGGGGCAACCTCCCAGCTTCAAGCAAGGTCACCTCACCGCTGGATCCAGCAATGGGCGAACTTGCTAGACACCTTGCTATAGGCCGTCGAGGTCAAGCCTCACCCAAAGTTGGTGAAGCCGACCCTTGCCGGCCTCTAGCAAGGCTCGACCTCGCCGTGCGGCCTATCAAGGTCACCTCACCGGATCGGTCGGCCCTCGTCTGTGGCCGGTCACCAGATTGTCGAGGCATGGCGATTGACGAAAGAAGAAGAAAAGAAAAAAAAGAAAAGAAAAATGAAAGAAAAATATTTAATTCAAAAAAATTTCAATTTTTTTTTAAATTACAAAATTGTTTAGGTTAGCCTCAACCGTGCCACATAAGATGGTTGGTGCTCACGTTGGTGATTTTCAGTTAAAATTGGCTGAAAGGACAACATTGGCAAATCGTCAAAAGGTTTAGGACTAAATTGGTCAAATTATTTCGATAAAAAAATTGATCAATTAAAAGGTTTAAGATTGAATCAGTACAAGTGCAATAATTTCTTTTTTTGGTAATTTCCCCATCAATTACTCTACAAGCTGAAGTTATTAACCAGATAACTCAGCAACCTTTTTTTTTATAGGAATAATGACACAAACAGTTCATGAACTTTAGCCCAATGTGCAATTTAGTCCCTAAACTTTTAATTTGTTTAATGTAGTCTCTGAACTTTAGCTTAATGTTCAATGTGGTCCACGAACTTTTAATTTGTTCAATGTAGTCGTTGAACTTTTGGTACATGTTCAATTTAGTTTACGAACTATATGAAAGTGCTCAATGTAGTCCTTCCATTAATTCAAGTTCAGGGATTACATTGAATATTTTCATATAGTTCAAAGACTAAATTGAACATGTACCAAAAGTTTAACGACTACATTGAATAAATTAAAAGTTCAGGAAAATGCCAAAATTTAGAGACTGTTTGAGTCATTTTTCCTTTTTTATAATCTTTTATTGTGTGACTGACGTCTACTAAGATAATGCCCTTATCATGTGGATGAATTTTTTTTATTTTGTAAGGAAAGAAAAATGAAGTAGCGACGGCTCTTCATTTTTTTTCTCACCCTTCTTCCAAAGGCATCTCCCATTCTTAGTACGAAAGAGAAGTAACGAACTTACTTTTGTTAGCTATGGCGGCTGATCGACCAATAGGACTTAAGAGAAGCTAAAACAAGGGTTATCCTGATTTTACCTCATTGTTTAGTGTGAGATCACCTAAGTATAAAATTAAAAATTAAAAAAGAGGGTTTCGTGGTACAATGGAACATTACTAGATTCGTTCATGTAAGTTAGATCCGGCGCATGACCTCATCTAACATTTTTGGTAGGGCAAAGTGGGTGGTGACGAGAGAGCTCTCATCATTTCCATGGCACGACATAATTTGAGCATGCTAAGATTTAAGAATCAAAAGGGCGAAAGTGGGTTTTCTTTTTTTTACTTCTTTGTAACACGGGATTATTCGGACCGTTGACTCGATTGGTTTCTACTGATACAAGCAAATTTGAGAATGAAGCTTCATAAGTAGTCCAGCCTGCATCAGCCCAGAATTATTTTGAGTGGGCTAGTAGGGTAGAGTGTGATATTGAATCGAGATCTATCGTACCCGAACCAAGTGCTCGACAATTCAACTGACCCTCAACCGATGAAAGGGATTTTGCCATCGACTCACTCTTTAAGTAAGTTTATAGGGAAAAATTACAAAAAACCACTTTGCATCGTGACACATTTCCCGAACTTTTTTGTGACGCCAAAATCCTGAACTTTGTTTTTGTGACACATTTATCCCAATGTATTTAGTCCATGGGCATTTTCGTCTTTTTGCTTTTCTTTTTTTTTCTTTTTCCTTTCCGGCGAGGGCCTCGCCGGCGTCGGCGAGGGCCTCGCCGGATCCGCGAGGGGGCCCTCGCCGGCGCAGCGAGGCGGCCCTCGCGAGTCCGGCGAGGCGGCCCTTCGAGGCTCGGGCGAGGTCAACCCTCGCCCGACGCGCGAGGTTGACCTCGCCGGCCGGCGAGCCGCCGCCCCGGCGCGGCGAGGCCCTCGTAGGAAAGGAAAAAAAGAAAAAAAAAAGAAAAGCAAAAAGACGAAAATGCTCATGGATTAAATACATTGGGGTAAATGTGTCAAAAAAGAGTTCGAGGTTTTGGTGTCCAAAAAGCTCGAATAAATGGTCACGATGGAGTTGTTTTGGTGGTTTCCCAAGTTTATAAGTAAGTTTTTGCATTCGTGTTCACTACTATTAAAGACAATTGCTTCGGCCTTGCTATGGACAGCGCGGGCTTTCTGTCCGGACTCACGACAACTAGGCCGGATTCATCTCAACCATCGATCGCGGGGACCCCACGTGTAGGGGATCCACGCGAGACCCAGGTGATCGACGGTTAAGATCACTCCCGTTTATCCCAAAAAATAAGTTTTAAAAAAAACCCCAAAGCAATCGGACCTATATATCATGAAAACAGATCTTCCATGGCCTTATCCAAATTTAAGTTCGGATGTCAATGGAAGAGATTCGACGGTCGGTGGCATCTCATCGCCGAAACGAGCTGAACCATTCGACAAAACTGATTTACAGTTGGGATCCCACCTTAATCTCTCCAAAAACTCGACCCATCATCGTTTTCTTTCTTTCTTTCTTTTCAAACCTTTTCTTGGCCGAGTTGTGTCAGACTTGTCGGTCCGTTTCTTGGGCCGAGCAAGAACCGGTCTTGGGCTCGAGCCCGGGACATCATCGTCGTCGTCGGTAAGGGCTCTCGGCAATCATCGGCGCGCTGGGTCAACGAGGATTGGGGAAATTGGAGGTAATTACTGCACCCAACGAGACGAAATAGCGGCTGTCTTTTTTGGCCGCGACGACCGAGGATCAGCTTCTTTTTTCGTCTGATGGGTTTTTCTGTTTACTTTCGATCTGGGGGCGACAGTGTTTAACGTTATTGCAACTCCAACTTCTGGCTGAAACGTGCGTTACAGTGAGTGTAGGTTTATGATTATTAATTAGGAAAGGAAATCCCGTCTCTGGGTGTCGCCAGTTTCTTGATTTGGGTCGTGACAGTAACATGGTGTTGCTCAGTAGCTCGAGTACAGTTTGGATCCGCCACATTCTTGCTTGCATGGGGTAAGCCCTCGATTCGTTCTTTCTGATTTGTTTGGGTTCTCTGGAAGTTTTGTTGGCTGATTTCTGGGAGAAATTCCTTGTCTTGAACATGTAACGATTCTTGGCTTGTCTGAGTCTGTTTCGTGTGTTGTTCTCTGCTTAATGTTTGGTTTAAGATTTGGGTTGAGTTGAAATTTGTTAATTTGTGGGGTTGATTTTAGATGGGTTCTTGGATTTATCTATATTGCTCGACTGCTCCAGTTTATTGAAAGTGAAAGTGGAAAAGTTTCTCCTTCAGAAATTGTTCAAGAAGTGATGGATGGGATAGAACAGAGAGCGCTTCTTGAGAATTTTATCGTTAAAAAGAGTAGGAATGGATTTGTGATGCCTAATGTTGAGACTAAGCCCAGGGGGTTCGATAACGGTGTTTCTTGATCAGGTCCGATAGTGTGTTCCTCGCTGCTGGTAACTCTTGCTTATGTGATTTACACGGTCTATGACGTGGCAGCGGTTGCTTTGGATGCTATTCGAAGCCCACACCAATCATAGCTGTGGATGAACCGGCCAAGGGGCTGCGTATTCAAGGGCAGACTGTGAAGAAGCCCAGCTTTTCCGATGATTTCTGGAGCAGTAGCACTTTTGATGTGGATAATGGCGCTTTTCAATCTCAGAGAAGCATGTCGTCTATCAGCACGTCGACTCTTAATCAGAGCAACGATTCTGAGTTTGTAAATCACGGTGCGTTTTCGACTCCATGTTGCTTGTTCTGGTACGGGGAGAAGTGCTCCGTCGTCGTGACGGTTTCTGCTGCTGATGAGCTTAATGCTTCGAATGAATTTTTATGCCCACTTTAAAGTGTTTTGTGTGCTGTTACTCTTGTCACCATATGTAATGTTGCAGCTTTATTGTTGCAGGTCTTATCCTATGGAATGAGAGCAGGCTGCAATGGATTGGAAATGGGAGCTCCAGGAATCAATCTAAACAGAAGCGTGGACGTACATTGAGGTGCGTACTCTAGCCATATCCTCTTTGTGTGCACAATCTTGCTCGTTGCTACTTTCTCTCCATTCTCTTCGGTGCATTTAGGTTTCAACTGACGTTAGCAAGTCAATTAACCCAATTACTATTATGTGGAAGTAATTACTAAAGTTCAAAGAGTTATGCCATCATTTAAACCTGATTTGAGATCTGGAAATCAAATTGGCTCGGTTGCTAGAGGCCTTCGTTATCCAGAGATCAGATTAGAGCTTCAGTCTCATAAACCCCCTTCCCCTTGCCTACCTCACCCAATGAGAATGAAAAAGTGAAATAAAACAAAGATTCGGCTCACTTGTAAAGAAGATTTAAGAAAATAATAATATGAGGAAGTACCTGGAGAGGCCTGGTTTAGCTCACACAATTCAGCATGGGTCAACCAAATGGATACTATAGAGTGTGAGACCTGTCAATCCTCTAATCAACTTGTCCGATCCTCAGATTCCATGTATTCAAATACTTGATGTACATTGCACTTCATGAAGCTATTCATCATCTCATTAATAAGTTCATGGCCTATAATGTCATGCTGTTTATTGCACACTGTCAAGCTGTCAGCGTCTCGGTATTAAGATATGTTGCTTCAAAAATCACTTGATCTTATGTTTTCTAGCAATATAAAGCATTTATTCATCATATGCTTTTGGAATCAAGTGGAATATATTGTGTGGTAAGCTTATGCTATAGCAGGCAGTGCTATATGTACATATCCTCACCTTCATTTGGTCTTTCACATTCACAGAACATGTATATAGTTATACACTTACAGACACATATATTCATTCTTCCATTTCTGATTATACTTTCTAAATCTATGCAGTTGGAATACCACTTATGAAAGCATACTCGCTAGGAGAACTCCTTTCGCCAGGCCCGTCCCTTTATCGGTAAGTACGCCAGAGTTATATATTTCACCGTAGTGACATTTATACTATTTGTACCAGCAACTACTGCATACTTGCTAACTACAACCCGTGATTTCTTCTTTTGCTGCATTCACAGGAAATGATAGAATTTCTGGTTGAAGCCTGGGAGCAGGAGGGGATGTATGACTAAGGAAGTACGTCGCCGAGAAGTTCCACATGTGTAGCCTGCATTGATTTGTGATCTTACTCTGCCTCTTTAATGTTAACCAAGAGGCATTTGTATAGAGCTTGAGAATATCAATGAAACCCAAGAAACAGCTGATGATGTGAAGAAAGGTCTGTATCTCAGTTCTAACATCCGCTGTGATTCTGCCCCGGTCCGCTTGAACTTATATGCTCTCTGTGCAGTAGGCTGATCATGTTCTGTTGTATATCTGATCTGATATGTACAGATTAAGCTTGTTGGCTGTTGTACATTACCCTGGATTCTTTCACTTAGTGTGCGCGGCAGGCGATCTAATATGATCAAAACGCTTGACGGGTGCTGTATCAACTATCTAGATTGGAAAGCAGATGTTGTCGTCGTTCCGAGATGGTAATGGCTAGTGAAGCAATGTTTGTGAATTTTGATTAAGTTGCAGTGGGTCATAGGCGTACGATTTGGGAACGCCGCAAAAGGCTTCGATGATGCTACCGACAATCCTGAAGCTTTCAGGGGGGAAAAAAAACCTGTCGCAGAAACTTGCTTTCAAAAATCAGCAGAGCCATTCGGTTTCTCATAGAGGAGTTAATGCTATGGTACGTCGGTGCCGGTATACTCAACAAGGATGACATTGCATTGCGGACGGTGGTGTGGTGTCTTTGGAAACAAATCTTCCTTCTTAACAGTTCTCAAATGTTGTAATCGCCGATTCGGTCGATTAAGCAACTTTCTTTCTCCAATCTCATTCTCAAGACCTAATAAATCATGACTTTTTCAACACATCGAATTGACGATTTAATCTCTTGCGAATTTCGATAGTAATAATGCATATTAACAAAATTTGGGAAATGAAAAACAAGATATTTCGCAAAAGCGACATGTTTCGAATAGAAATATTTCGATTTTCAAAGCACGACTCACGACTCTGTAATTTAAGAGTATACTCTTTAACATTTTTCTTTTTTATTTAATTACTTCAAGCAAGTCTATTTTTTATCAAGAAACAAGTATGGTTCTACATTGCCGAGAAATCCCTAAATCAAAGAATACAAGTGGTAACATCTCTGGATAAAAGCTATAAGATACTTCGCAACGATTTCATGATCATCAGGACTACCATAATCTACAGAGCCAAACATATACAGGTTTTCTTTTTTATTAGTTTTTTTTTAGGTATATCACCCCGAAACTGCCGTATTTTCAAGGGGTCGATCATCTCGGGGAAGGAACAGCATGTCTCGGAGCAGTCTGCGCAGTGATTTGCCTCACGCCCACTACACTGGATCAGCAAGTCATTGTTCTAAGCAGACTGGCGTTCGCCAAACCCTCGGCCGGTTTCAAGATGATGTGGTCCAGTTTAGCGCAGAGGTTCTTGTAGAACTGCCATAGACAAGACAACACAGAAGTTTAGCGAAACCGGGTTAGATTCATGATACAGTATAGTCTGAAAGGGACAATGAGACGCTTGTAGACTTCAAATCGCATCCTGGGTGGAGTCGTTCCACTCGAACAGACACGATCGAGCACCTCGAACCAGTAGATCGACTTGACCAAAAGAATGTGAGTGGTTCAACTAGACTTCATTGGTGCTAGGAAAATTCAATGGAAGTGCACTAGAATATCAGTTGACCTCAATTAGTAATACCTTTCCCAAGGCTTTGATAAAGATGAAGATTAAATACTCGGCTTCAGCGATGCAAATCTGATGTAATTGATACATTACTTACGAACTTACATGTACCGAGATAAATCGGTCAAATTGCATAGACGAAGTGAGATCATTGAATGAACTTGCTGAAACACAATGCAAAGGTACTGGGGTATTACTGGAAGGGCAAGTTCACAAGTGCAAATTTTACTATCAAATGGCCTGCAAGGATTCTTTTGCAATTTCTTGGCCATTAATAGGAGTGCAAGCCAGTCAAGCTACGTGAGCTACTTGTGCAGTTGTTATCGACCCGCTACCTACTCGAGATAGGCTAGAATTTTTTCAAGCTCGACTCAGGTCCGAGCCTAAGATACTTGACTTGATCAGCTCACGAGCCTAATCAAGTTATCTCATTTGTTATGCAGGTTTTGTTAATTTTGTAACAGATAATGGACTTATAATAGTACTTCTTTAGTTTGTAGTTACACTTTCACCTTTTAATGTAATTTTAAACACAAACAGAAAGGCAGAGTGCAAGTATTTCGAGCCAAGTCGAGTTCAATCGAGCTAGAAAAGTCGAGTATGTCGAGTTTTATTTCGAGTCTGGTCGAGTTAGAGCGGGAAGAAAAGTTTTGAATTTATAAATCGAGCTTGAATCAAGTTTCGAGCTCTGAATTTATGAGTCGAGTCGAGCTCGAGCCGCCTGGCATTGTGTTAGATCCAAACAGGGATTACCAGGTGGAAGTTTCTGAATCGAATGACATATTAAGAGCTTACCTTATGATACTCGAGTGTATCCCCAGCGGCCTTTCTAACATCAACCATGAACAGAGATGGTGCCACTTCATACACCTAAGGAAGAATTACTCGATCACGTTATGAATGACAAGGATCCAGAAGCCAAGTTTGTATCGCCGAAGATAGTCTGAAGTTAATGCAAAACTTATAAGAGTTACCTCCAAGACGACTGCGAATTGACCAGCCTTGTTTGCAGATATTCCTTCAATTCTCGTCTTCAAGGACAAAGGTATGAACAAAATGTCAGAATACAAAACCGAATGTTATTTACTGAAACTGAACTTCTTTAACACATTGATAGTACACCGAAAGCATGAGAATGAATAGAAAAGGATCATTAAAACTAAGGGTGCGTTTGTTTTGCGAAAAAATGGATGATTTGGAAAATATTAAAAATGTTCGCCTATATCGCTTACAAAAACGAATGAACGAAAAGTATTTTCATCGTTCACGAAAATATTTAGATATAAATTGTTATCGATAATGAAAACATTTCTCATTGACTAATTATATTGAGCGATACAAGCAATTACTTTTAGGAAAATATTTTCCAAATCATTCACCAGGAAACAAGCGAAGCCTAAGTAAATTTAAACCTTCAACTGAAAATGCATGCTCAACCAAAGAATGTTTGAACTGAGAATTTCTAATTATGCCATCTCAGGCATGTTAAGTAATTCAAACCATAAAACAAACAAAGATCCCTATGAGAAACGAAAAGATTGATGGCCAAGGATAAATATTACTACTCTTTCTTTCTACCATCTTCAATACGATCCTCTAAGAGTAAGGTTAGTAGAGTGGACATCTCGTCCACTTCTCAAACCCTCGTGCATCAGTGAATAATCTAGCTATTCCACACGTTATAATATGTTTCTAGCTGAAATTGGGCATATTCTTGGTAGATGTTCCTAAGTGATGGAAAACACAACATGCAATATAACTGATACTCTAATCAAATATTGATCCTTGGCGGAAACTGCTAGGGGAAAATGAAAGTCATGAACCAACGGTCTAGCTTGACAGAATGAGTGGCGCACAGCATTCTTCTATTGACATTATTTACTCATGTATGGATGTTGACAGAATGAGATATGATTTTAGCATGGATGTTGACTTAGGAACACTGCAGCTCAAAACTCGAGTCTCAACAGTTACACAAACCATAATCATGTCCTGTTGCAAATTTACAGTTGTACTAAGCGCGCACAGTATAAATGGCAAAAACGAAGCACAATCACTAGATGTCCCATAAAACCAAAACAATTCTAGCACATGTTGCATTCTAAGAGAGTATACGCTTATGTGTTTGCCACGCCTAAATATATAGATGAGTCCGGAGTCAAATATAGGTCTACACGCATTTGATTTTACAGTACTTCAAGATGGTCAGGAAATGAATGCTGTCTGACTTTGAATTGTGTCATGCGATAGACAGATACCTTGAAATTACGTGTATGGACTTTGAGACCCATTGATATTCCAACAGCTTCAATCGATGAAATCACAACTTGAGCTGGTTTTCGGGAAACAAAACGAGTTTGCCGCTTTACATGATCCTGCCGCAGATAGACAATGATATGAGAGAGAGAGAGAGAGAGAGAGAGAGAGAGAGAGAGAGAGAGAGAAGGGGGGGGGGGGGAGAGGTTCTCCGAAATGGCTACTTTTTTTATTTAAATCTAGATGTGTAAATGTATAAGTTGATCGAAGTAAACTGGCCAATGAATAATATGACAGATTTGTTTTACTTTTTCATTCCCATTCCCGAGACTCACCTAATATGGACCTTAAAAGGTGAGCTAAATCATATGGACAAACCAAATTACTTCAGAGTTTAACAATCCCTAATTTGTTGATAGTAATAAGTCTGCTACAGGTTAAATTTGATAAACTGCAGTAGCAAATGGCTAGAATTACTTTTTGGGACATACTAATTGCAGAGAATGATGAATTCAAATGCATTACCAGACCCCTGTCAAAAAGAGCTGACAGATTCAGCCCTTGAGATAGAGTTATCATCTCAAACGCATTCATCATTAGAGGGCTCCCTTCTATAGAGTCTGAGTTCTCAGCTACATACTTTTCCTGCAAATTACCCACGACTTCTTAAATAATTTAAGCAAATACAACAAAGATCATTGAACTTTTAGGGCTTTAATAAAAATGCCACGAGACAGCTTCTATTGAACAATTTTAATCATGAAGTAATACCAGAAAGAAGACAGCTCTCTGGAATTAAATCAGAGAACAGTGGACTGAAGCAAACCTCGATATCATCAAAAACCGCATGCACATCATCCAGATCCACATCTTCAAGTTCTCTATGTTTGATAGGCACATAGTTTTTACGAAACCATGGATGCTTCCTGATAGTGTCAATATCAATGCGCTGTTTTAAGAAATATCCACAAAGTTATGCATCAGCATTAAAAATAAATGCTAATGCAAGCTCAAGAAGTATGCAAAACAGTGATGTACTATTGTTTAGTAATATGACAGACTTGCAATAAGATAAATCTCGCAAAATCACTTAAGAATATTAGTTGACTAATAATGAAATCTGACATTATGAATTAACACCCCATCAAATACTTGGACAACATAATGCATAAAGTTCAAGTGAGATTATCACTACATGCATGGAAGAGATACATTCAATCATGCTACAACGTCAACCAGGCTAAGAAAAAATTAAGTCAACCCACCAAATGCGTCAAATGAAGTTTACGAGGCAATTTATTAGCATAAAAGTATAGGGTGTCAAATTGAACAACTTACTGTCTTGGGATTGGGATCAAGAGTCTTTTGGATCAAGGACTTTGCACCCGCAGAAAACCAGAAGGGGCAAGAAAATTCGGCAGCATTTATCTATACATAAACCAGAGAAGTGAGGACTTTCAAATCATAAAAGTAGATAACTATTCACTTATATAACAAAGGACAAAGAGATCGCATGCGATGAATTGAAATGATGAAGGTTGCTGATCTAAAGTTCAATACAATCCAGGAAAAGCACCATGAAGAAAGGATCAAAACAGATGGGACATAGGAAAAAAAAAACAGAGGGGACAAGAAAAGAAAGGATAACAAGCAGCCATTCATTCCAAGATCCCATTCAGTCAGTTATGCAGTAAAATGGACCAACTTCTGGCGTATTAGAATTGAGCAGACTATTATATGTTCGACTACTTTTTTTACACACCAATCCCCGATCAAGAGGAGCAATGTGAAAAGGATAAGGAATTATTATTACAATTAGTCAACCTCTACTAGCATTTGCTGTCCACACACCATCTACTCCAAGCACTGACACGTCTTCCAAGTCCAAATGACAACAAACTCTAAGCTGATAGCTCCCTTATAATGACAATATCCGTAAATAAACAATGGCAGATATTTTATGCTCGCCACGTTTGCCAATACTTTTTCTCATACACTCTTGACTCTACTTAAAAGGGAACAGGAGAGGTAAAAATTATTACCACGGATCAACAAGGAGTCTAGGTCTACCCATATTTAATTTGGAAAAAATCAAGGTAAGAACATGACCTTTTTAAAAAGACTTGGAAGGTCCGTCTCATCAAACGGGAGATATCCAGCCATTATAACAAAGAGAATAACTCCACATGACCATATATCAGCTGCTGCACCATCATATCCATGCTGCCCAAGCACCTGAGGCATTTTTTAGCATTAAAAAATATGGCAAATTGAGAGGTAGAACGTAGAAACAACATAAGCCCAAAAGGAATTCAAGTGAGCTACTATAGCCACAACCAACAAAGCGGGTTCAAAGATGGCCATTTACCATACAAATAAGCAATATGAAGAGTATCCACCATTTGATATAGCATGCTAGCAACCATCAGGCAAGAAAGCAATGAAGGGAACAAATGCTTTAAGAGCTTTCAACCTCTCAGATAGTCTTTTTTCTTTTATCCTTTTATTACCTACTTCTTAAAAGCAACTGCCGGCATTCAATAACTTTTCACAGGTCATAATATCACAAATGAACCTTTTGAGATTTTTTAAGCGTCTCCAATGGCTTTATATACGACATCTTCACACAGGGTGAGGAGAGGTGGCTGGTGTTCATGTCAGCTTCCACAGACCGGAGTACGCATAGAAGGTTACTTCTACAGGATTGCCAATCTTATATAGCATTTAACTCCCATAACAATCAACTAAGGTAAAGAAAAACAGTACTGAAGCTTCTTTACTAATGGCAAAGGAAAACCAATACCTAGTGAAACAAAGCCACTGTCTGGATCAGATATTGTGATATTTAATGATCATCTGTTCTTGTAGGCAAAGCCCACTAAAGGAAAAGGAAACTAGGTGCTAAACAAATGTAAAATCAGATCAAAATTTTTAACAGTGATGACAATGTAGTTTACCAACTGAAAAATACATTTCCAATAAATAGAATTCATAAGAATTATGCATGTTGGAGTTGTTGTCCAATCATTTGGCCCAAAATATATAACTGGCAATCAATAATACACCTAAGGTGAAACACAACCAAAATGAGGATGAAAGAGCACATCAAAATGTTAATTTTACTAAATAGAAGGTGACTACATTAGTACCTCGGGAGCAACATAATTTGGTGTTCCACATGTTGTGTGAAGGAGTCCAACCCCCTGTATACAATTAGAAGCATATTCAGAAGAGAATACAGATGGGAACGGAAGAATGAAGAATTATAATCACATAAAATCTTGATGATCCTGAAGTGAACATCATAATGCTTACCGGCTGGGGCAGAGCACTCAATCCAAAGTCAGAAACTTTTAAGTTTCCATGAAAGTCAAGAAGAAGATTCTCAGGCTTTAACCAAACAGCAAGGAAAAACTAATCAGTCAATACATTGTGCCAAATGAACACATAACATGAGATATAATACATTCAAGGTACAGCTCAGTACCTTCAGATCTCTATGATAGACACCCTTGCTATGACAATGAGCAACTGCATCTATAAGCTGCTGGAAATATTTCCGACACAAGTTTTCAGAAAGTTTTCCTTGGTGAACCTGTGAATCCAAACATAAACAAATCAGGCATCAGAATTTCATGATTGTTCACGATCTAAACTTTCAAATATAACTATTTTGCGATAAAAAACTTAAGAACAACCCCGATCTTTAGTAGAATTTGGTTCTGTTAAAATTGTTTGAAATTTCCGATATTGATTGATAAAATCATAAAATCAACGCTATTTTTCCAATCTTAACAATTCGATTCTCTTATAGATTTGCTACACCAAAACTTAGTGTCACCTTTTTGAGGTTTTGACATTAAGATTTAAAGACTTTGCTAGCGTTCAATTGCATCTCAATTCTGCTTATGTAAATTCTTATCTTACAAAAGACACGATTACTTACTTTCACTAGTATATGTACATTATAAATACAAATTATTTCGACAATTTCTAGAATCTTAAGATTCTCGATCTGATCTCTGAAACACCTCCATCAATCTTAAGTAGAGTCCCCATTTTATAACCTTGTTTCTATGGTTGCGAAGATATATCTTCGACATGCAAAGAGAAAAAAATTGAACTGAATTATTTTTAGCTTAATTTCCAATGTAACAAGATCATGTTACCACACAAGTAAATAAAATATGCATGCTGTAAAAGTTGGAACCTGCAAAACCCACTCAATCATTCTCCAACCAGGATAAAATGCATACAAAGGCAATCGTAGTTCTTACAATTTTATCAAATAATTCACCGCCAGTCACAAACTCAAGGATGATATATATCTTTGTCCGGCTTGCTAAAACCTGCAGCATTCAAGTAACGAGGTGAAGCTTACGTTAATTAAGTAAGAGTCATGAAGAAGAAGCACAATTGAATCGAATTCTTAGAGATCATGAAAAAAGCCACGAGGATCATTAAGAAGAGGAGATTATCAGATACCTCATGCAGCCTAACTATGTTAGGATGCCTGACTATCTTCATTATGGATATCTCCCTTCTGATCTGCAATAAAGAAGAAAGATTGTTAGAGAGAGACAATACTATTGACAAGCTAAGAAGAAGAGTTAACAAGCTCGCGAATGATGATTACTTAATCTTGCTGGATATCAGTTGACCTGGTTGTCCTGGAATAGCAACTGATTACAAGTAACATGGGCAAGAATAATGCCCTGCGTTACATTATCTACTGCACGGACTGTTAGTGCTTACGGCAACTTACAATCTCAAATACTAAGAGCAAAGTAAATGTTAGTATTACAATCCAAATTGTATGTACATTTTTGGACAAGCTGAACAACCCGGATTGAGAGATGTAGCTCTAAAGTAAAACAGTTCCCAAAAATCCCCAAAACTGTAAAAATTGGACATCAAACAAATGCAAGTCTTCCTTCTCACACGAGCCGGACCAAAGTCCTCAATTTCATCCTTTCGAGTTTAGTAATTTAACCATGTCATTGCTCTGACTGCATTTCTTGAAAAAGCACCAAAGTCGTGGTCAGACTTCAATTAGGTGCTATGCAAGTTTCAGATAGCCAGTGGGCAAGCTAAATTTATCAAGTTCATCTCTTTTTCTCCTATTGTTACAATGAAATTCTGCCTCTTTAAAATGGACCACAGCCTCAGGAAGAGAACAGCTGTCCATTGCCTCTGATAACTTTCTCGCTCCTTAGTTAAGTTATTGTTAACTCTGTCTTAAGTGACATCAATCATGAAACTATGAAGTGGCATGGGAGGCAAAACATTTTATATCTAAAAACAATGAACTTGAGCTGTTGCCAACACCAAAGATTGAAGTTTAGACTACTATCAGCCTAGAAATTGCTGCATCGACAATCAACAGTCGAAGAGATTCCGGATACGTATGTGAATGTAATTTGACTGAATGAAAAGTCCTTCTTAGGGAAGAAAGCCGAAAGGTAAGTACCTGATCGACCATTCTGTGCTTAAGAATGGTGCTTTTGGCCATAATCTTTATGGCCACGCTCTCCCCAGTTTCCAGGTTCTGCGCGAACTTGACCTTGGCGAAAGTCCCTTCGCCAATCGTCCGCCCGACTTGATACTTCCCGACCTTCCTCGTTGTCACCATCTTCGATAGGCACTCAGCTCATTCTCCTGTAACCAGCAGCACCCGCAATCACAACTCGCTCGCTCCTCAGCGGAAACAAGACACTGCAAATCGCATCTACACTCGAAAATTGCAATATCAACCAATCTGTCAATCACAATAGAACCTCCGATGCAGCAGAGCCCCCGAACTTTACGTAGAAAACAAAACTTAACAAAGTTAAACATATTCTAAGCAGCGACGACCGCCGATCCATCATGACGCCGGAAAAAAAAAACCAGAAATCGCATTGACGAAGCGAAAAACCGATGAGCGATCGCTCGTTTTCCGGCAAATCGCACGCGATTGCTTCCGAGCTCAAGCAAGCTGAGAACACGAAGATAGCGCAAATGCAAAAAAGCAAAAGCAACCGGAGCAAACGGTTTCCGAAAGCAACTACTCATCAGAAGCTCGATTTCGTCCTCGCAAGGAAAAAGCTCGAAGGAAGAAACCGAGACCGAGAGCGAAGCAAATCAAAACCGCGCCGGGCGCATGCCGGCCGGCGCAGCACCGGGAGGCGGAGGTACCCTTACCGGAGGCGGACAGGCTCGCCGGAGCTCCGTCATGCGACGCCGCGTTGCGCGCAGAGATGGAGAGATGGAGACGGAGACGGTTGTTATTATATGTGATCTGGACACGGCGTCGTCGTCGTCGTCTTTATATAACACGAAAGCACATTGTCCAATTCGATTTGCGACTTTTCTGGTTTTTTTTTTTTGTTACTTTTTTTAAATTTTATTGAGTTGCTTGCAGATGGCCCTTTTGAATAAACTAATTATTTTAATGATTTGCCACGTCATATCTCTTATATTCAACGGCTACCCCGGGGAAAAAACGACGTCTTTTGTGGGGCTTGAGAGTCGAGACCACTTATCAGATTCGTCGGGGGCATATGCTGTGTATGTACATTATTGATATGTAAGTTTTTATTGCATAATTATTATTTTTTTTTTCCGAAATTCAGTTATGAACCGATCAGTTTTTGTTATTAAATGAGCATTACGTGTTGCTTGGCGAGGAAGAGGAAAAGAAGATAAAAAAAAAAGTCTTGCCAATTCTATGAAAATGCACCAATGACGTCTTGTGTGGGGCTCGAGAGTCGAGACCACTTATCGGATCGTCGGGGCATATGCTGTGTATGTACATTATTGATATGTAAGTTTTTATTGCATAATTATTATTTATTTTTCCGAAATTCAGTTATGAACCGATCAGTTTTTGTTATTAAATGAGCATTACGTGTTGCTTGGCGAGGAAGAGGAAAAGAAGATAAAAAAAAGTCTTGCCAATTCTATGAAAATGCACCAATCCCTAAAATAGTAATAATCCTTTTAAAGAACTCTTAGGGAAAAGGGAAATCGTCTGCAAAGTCCTAAATTTGTGGTCAATTCAGTAATGAACTTTTTAATCTGGTCAATTCAATTTTAAACCTTTTGATAATTTGTCAATGTAATCCTTTTGATCAACTTTGATTGGAAATCACTAAGATGACAGTCCAACATACATGGGCGGCACTCACATGCAATTTTCACAAATTTTTAAACTTCTTGATTTTTTGGTTTTTTTCTTTTCATTTTCCTTTTTTTTATTGTTTTCTTCTAAAGAAAAATGAGGGGTGACGGCTTTTTGCATAGTGCCTGGCATGGGCTTCGCGACCATCGCTAAGGCCCTGGCAACCCCTACCGACCCTTCTAGGAAGATGAACAGTGATAAAAAGAAAAAGTAAAGAAAGAAAAGGAAAAAAATCAAAAAAATTTATCAAAATTCAAAAAACTTCAAGAATATTACAAAAATTAACTACATCAACGCCGATCATAAGACATGATGCATCAACGTCATCGATTTTCAACCACAATTGACCGGAAAGACTGTGTTACCAAATCGTCAAAATATTTAAGACTAGATTAATCAATTTGAAAAATTTAGAATTGAATTGATAGTCGTATAATAAGTTTAAGTTTAAGTATTTTTGGTCAATTATCTGTCGGGAAAACAAAGTAACACGAGACAAATGATTAGCTTGCATTTTGGCGTGCCTTTTGTGTGGTCGCCGCCATTGAAGGGAAGGAAGGAAAAGTCCACGCAAGAGACAAGGACAAGCGATCGAAAGTCCACCGTTAGTCCATCCAAGAAGCAAGGACAAATGATCCAAAAGTTCACCAAAGATCACACGTAGATAAGATAGAAAGAAACGGATGGATTTGATGGCCACCTAAGGAACAAATTTGTTCCTTAGCATCTTGTGTTTCCCTCTTTGTGCTGCTAACTGTTCCTTCCAATCTTTTTCCATGGGGGGAGACCCACACGACAAGATGTTAAACTTGACCAAAGTACACTGAGGAAACCAAGGAGGGTGTTTCGATTTCCTTTTCCGCCACCTCGGGCATAGTTATGAGGGTCGGATCGATTGTCGACCTCTGTCTTCTGATTAGATTAGATTCGAGGTCTATTAGATGAGCCAGTAACATCTAGGATCACAAGCGTATCCTTTGATTCAATCGACCCGTGATTTCTTATATGTTTTTACCTATCCGATGATGTAAAAGATTGGTGGCTGTAGAATAGTTAAAGAAGTTAAATTTGAAATTTGCACTGTCATCGCAAACGGTCTTAACACCACCGTGAAACATGACCAACGCCCCTCTAGATCCCGGTCACCGCCAACACAACAATAACCACAATCGGCAACATCGCCACCAACACAACAATAACCCTAATTGCTATCCCAATTCTGAGCGGAACACCACCTTCGATCTAGGTCGGGTGATCCTGGATTGTAGGCCATGTAGCCTCAGATAGTTAGGGCGCATTTGGTTTGGTTTTTGGTGAAAAACCTTTGGGAAGATGCAAATGTAGGTTAAAAGGTTCTTCAACGAAACGTGTGCGACGTGGTGCTCCCCTTAATTTAAGAAACATATCGAGCCGATATTCGTAAAGTCGATATCGAATTAAATGATAACATTCAAAGACCACGTCGAAGAAGGAGCAAGTCCTTAAGAAATCATAGTCAAATGTCAGCCTATGCATGAGTAGCAAGTCGTTCGATAAATTAAATAATTAGGTCTCATCTATGTGCTTTAAACGTGGAAACTGATTCTACATACTTAAATTAGGTCTCTATTTTTAAATCGGGTGAAAACATAACCTAGGAATTATATCTTCGATTTTTCTTTTTCGGAATCGATGTAAAACCGTGTTTTTTTTTCTCAATATACGATTGACTTGATCTTCTAGGAATCGCTTACGGAACACGCATTTAGTTTCTTATTACGGTCTTCTTCTTCTTCTTTTTTTTCCTTTTTGTTAAGCAGGGATTTTCATGTAATAAATTATGGTAGGGTTTTTCTACACGCTTTAAATAAACTAAGTTATAGATGGCAACATTCATTAAATAAATAAATAAAAATTGCTTCCTTGTCCATATAAAGTTTCTAATTAGTTAATTAGCTCCTACGTATTTTCTTTGTATTTTATGGTTTCGTTTTCAGCTCCAGCTGTAGCTAGAGTTTCTAAGTCTCTAATTAGTATTGGCAAAATCATCACAAGTTTATGGCTCGAAACCTTTATTGCTGATGGAGAAGTCGTTGAGATACCTTTTGTCGTATGACCTCGCATCACCTATTAATTAAGAGGGCAAATTGTCACTTTTCAAGAAATTATGCCATACGGTAAAAAATATCTTACGCAAATAATCTTATCCACCACAAAAGAGCTCCATGGCCAGATCCGAAGGTCCTCCATGACTGAGCTCAACTCGATGAAGCTCGATTAGACCTCGGCCACGGAGGAGCTCCATGGCCAAATTTGGAGCACTAGTCCTTGTTCTCCTCCATGGCGGAACAACTGTCACCGTTCTCCTATGTCTCATGCACCTTTGTCACACGGGCAACTGCACCTCCATCCCTTGCACCTTCCTTCGTTGGGCCTCGACCTCAATGTCGGGGCAAGGGTAGAGGCGGCGACTACACTAATGGTTGCTAAAGATTGCAGGCCACGGCGATGAATATTGAGAAGGGATCGGTGGTGGCTTAAGTTTTTGCGCGATGGTGGTGTTCAGGTAATTTGGACGTCCGCGAGGGCTCAGAGATCTCAACTATCGACATTCAATCTGGCATGGATAGAGAGGAGAGGAGGTAGAGAGTGACGAGTAGAGTAAGGTGGGAATTGCGGTGACGAGATCCATTATGTTGACATTCAATTCTTATGAAAGGTTGACATTTAATCTAGCTTGGATATTCGTATATTTACCAAATATTATATAAGATACTAGAAATTCTATCTTTATTTATCCGACCTACATCCTATTTGACCCTATCCTATTCGATAAAAAACCTCATACAACCAAACGCAACCTAAGAGTTTTGTCAAGAATGTATTGTATCTTTCATTTTTCCTCTTATCTTGTCCTTTCTTTAGAGTAGAATGGACCTTCTATATCTATAAAAAAAAGAGAGGTTGTATTGTACATCATTTATAATAACAGCAACAAATCGTTTCCATAAGTAGTCAGTTCATATTTTTTTTTTGCGTATGATAATCATTTCATATTATTTTATAAATAGAATATAAGTCTAATTATTTAGAATTCTTTAAACTATATAAAAATTAATTTATACAAAAATATTAATTAAATTAGATAAATTCTATTTATTGATAAATTTTATTTATTATATTATAATAAGTAATATTTAAGGGCTCAGAGGAAAATCTCTTCATAATAAGTATTACAACTAACTCTATAAAAATGGTAAAATTACTATCAAAGAAATTTTAAAAGGAGCTTTTTTAGAATATAAGCATCCTTGTAAATATGACATCTAATAATATTACGAGAAAAATTGATTTCGTCTCCTTCCAATATATTATATCATAAAGACTAAACCTATTTTTCGATTCCATCCAATACATCATATAGTAAAATACAATGTCCGAGTTAATGTTACTTAAAAAGTAACGATCGATTACTTGAAAGAAAATGTTAAATTTATGTTTTGTAAGAAAACGATGTCAGCATGTGTTTGATAACTGTAAAGCGTAGAGAGATTTCTAAAGTCTTCGCGCAAGAGACGATTCGTTGAATTCTCTTAGTCCCACTCCCCACAGGAATTGAAGAGCACGCACGCACATTCATGGGTGCAGCAAATGCAAGCTCCTAGTGGAAGCTTTTCCATGAGATCCCCCAGCTATTGCTATCGAATCCCCTCACCGTGATTTCGGGATTGATTTCTTAGACAACACTTGAAATTGGAAAAAACCAAGAAACCCGGGATTTTTGGCATGGATATCTAGAACACAGGCTCCTTTTAGGGACAACTTTAAGGAATGCTGTGTTCTGGGCTAAATAATTCATCCTAAGGTGTTTTTTTTTGTGGGATATTATAATTTTAAAGTGAATTTATTTATTAAGCAAATGAACTCATAATGTTGAGTTATCTACCAAATGATATGCTTTGTTTTTAAGTGATATTTCCATTTTTTATATAGTTGAATGTGCAAGAGTAGAAAAGCATTTTCAATCAATATAAATTTCCTAAAATACATAAACCAAAGTGAAGCATGGACAAGTAATAGTATACTAGCTATAGTGGAAAGTTCTCTAGAAATTTGATGAAATGTGAGGAACTTTTATGGGCAGGCATAAAGTTCATGTTTCTATATTCATACATGGTTCT